AGATGCTGTTGTCGTATGACTCCTCTGATGATGAAAACTCGATATGCGTTGACTGTGAACTTGGATTTCCATCCAGTGAACCGAAGACCGAGAAATTCGTTGCGAATTTCAATTCACAGGAAATGGAACGCATGAATTTATCTACTAATCGGCCGGGAAAAGGTGACGCATCGCATGAAATAGACACCAAATGTGTTGACCACTATACCACAACGCCAGTACGCAACCTCCCGAAAATAGAAATAGATAAGTTCAGCGGGAATCCGATAGAATTCTGGAAGTTTATGAAAGCGTTCGAAATGAGTGTAGCTGATCCGCTGCTTGACGACACCAATAAAGTGATGCCCCTTCTCCATTATTGCTGTGGGGAAGCCAAGGAGGCCATTGAACACTGTGTGTTCCTCCCTGGAAAGACAGGCTACCAAAGAGCCATGGATATCCTAAAGACGCAGTTCGGAAGGCCACACGACATTGCACAGTCGTTCATGAACGAGCTTCTAACTGGAGGGCCCATTGCTCCCGGAGACGTCGATGCCTTACGAAGGCTGATAAGGAAAATGGTGAACTGTGATCTCGCATTGAGACAGATGCATTACATGGCGGATTCGAACTGCTCAACCAATCTCAAGCGTATAGTGGAGCGCCTACCTTGGCGTTTGCAAGAAAAGTGGGCTGAGGCGGCAGACGACATACTGCGTTTGGGATCAGAGCCGGAGTTTGATCATTTAGTATCTTTCCTTAACAGAAGTGTATCCACTGCTTCAAACTGTTACGGTGTTATCGCCAGCACAAGAAGATATGGTAATCAGACAGACAAAGTAGACTTAGAACGCCCGCCTCGAAAGGCCCGCATCAACGTCGCAGCTATGAAAGCCACTGCGACTTGTCCTCACTGTTCCCAAACTCATAGCCCTTCAGACTGTGAAGTGTTTGTCATCCTACCCCAGGTCAAGAAACTGAGTATAATGAGAGGCCTCAAGTTATGCTTCAATTGCCTGGAGCCTAACCATAGAGCATTTGAGTGTCGCGTCCCTAAACGTTGCGACGTATCGAATTGCAAAGAGTGACATCACCGTCTGCTTCACGACACACAGCGGATAGTTATTAAGGCAACAAAGGCTGCCAACGTCAACTCAACCGTAGTTGGAGGGCCCCGGAACTACCTCGGGTTCGTAGCAGTGCGGCTAATTGGCTCGAAGGGGACTTTGCTAACACATGCCCTGTTGGACAGTGGATCTGACACCACCCTAATAACAGCAGACGTGGCAAAACAACTTGGGATAGAGGGAGAAGCAACGCGTGTAGAAGTATCCTCGGTAAGTGGCTCCGATATCAAAAATACTATGACCGTCAGCTTTGCCATGCAGTCTTTGCACGATGGGTATGTTTTGAACGTCGACTGCGCCAACACCGTCAGGTCACTTCCCATCGCCAAGGCTTCCGTTCCGATTCGCTGCTGATTCGCTGCTGAGCGAATAGGCGCACCTAGCGGACGTTCGACCCACACGAATTACTGGAGACAACGTCTCGATTTTGATTGGAACCAATGACCCAGAGGTCCACTGGGTTGTCGAGCAACGTCGGGGTTCTCCGAAACATCCTTACGCATATCTTACGGCCTTGGGATGGGCAGCTCCTCCTGCAAGACCCAAAAGAATATTACAGCAACTGTGCGAGAAGAAAGTAGCCAAGGACGAAGGGATTGATACGGCCGTGGAAAATTTGTGGGACTGTGGGCAGCGAGACATACAAAGAGTCGAAGCGTTGGAAATCTCTCGATGCCTCCCGTTTATTGGATTTGATGTACGCCACACACAGCTGCATATCTTCTCCGACGCCTCAGAAGTTGGATACGGATCCGTTGTTCATTTACGTTGTATACGCAGTTTCGGTCTTGCTTGCTGTAATTTTCCGATTGGCAAATCCCATGTTGCCCCTATGAAGCCTGTTGCAATACTAAGACTGAAGTTACAATCTGTCGTCTTGTCCGTAAGGTTGAAGAGCCTCATCCAGAGGGAACTGAGTTTGAAAATAGACACCATGTACTTGTGGACCGACTCCATGGTCGTACTTCATTACATCAATAATAGAAAGTCCAAATATAGGACGTTGATCGCCGATAGTCTGGGATTCATTCATGAAAATATCGAAGTATCGCGGAGGAGGTATGTGCCATCGCAAGACAATCCAGCAGATTACGCATCAAGAGGAGTCTCTGGTAGCCGCATGGATGTTCCAGACACTTGGTTGCATGGTCCCGCCTCTCTACAAAGCCCAGAGCACATGTGGCCAAAATTGAATGTCAGCTGCTCTCCTGAAGACAAACCGGGCCTTGACGTTAAAGAGTCCAACGTTCTGAACACCACCGTCTTAGGAGAATTAGCACTTGACAAACTTCTCTCTTACTATTCTTCGTGAACTAGGCTGAAACGAGCCATAACATGGATGAAGCGATTCAACTTGTATCTTCGCATAAGGTCAAATAAAGAAACGAAGTATGTGCTCTCACTTAGCCCTCTGCGGCTTGATGAAATGAGGGCAGCAGAATATTCACTATTGCAATACGTGAAACAGCATGCCATTCAACATTTATATAATTCTGTCGCCGGAAAGTCACGTCCCGATGAGCCCCTGAATGTGGCTTCTGTCGCTATTCTCGTTAGCCGTGCATGGGATATCCCTGTCAGGTGGGATGGGTGGAATTTGGAGCAATGTTATAGGGATGTGATATCAGCACTGAGAAACAGGTTTGGCCATCGTGCCTCAGGTTATCGGAACTCTCTACGGCCAAAAGTAGCTCGCTTGATTTCCCCAAAGACGCCTATCAACTTGGTGAAGATGACCGAGTTCATTTCAAAGTTCCAGTCGGTCTACAGGGCTATGGGTTGGACGACATCAGAGTGTCCACATTTGGCAATGGTGTGACCGTAAACGTGAAGAAGATTGTCCAAAACGATCGGGCTTTAAGCAGTCGAGAGTACTCCCGAACAATTTACATACCCAGGTCGGTTGACAAGAATCAACTTGAGTGCCATTTTACCGAAGACGGTGTGTTAATGCTTGAAGCTCCAGTGAAGACGGCAGACTACAAATCGATAACTTTCGACCGTGATCGCCAGATAAGCATCAAACCACACTCCGAGACTGAAGTTGGACAAAAGCGAAAATCCGGAGATGCATTAGCAATCTAACCAACTGGTGTTCTCGGACCGACTGTTCTAAAAGACGACAAGTCTGGAGGAGACAAGTTGCATGTGGAAATCCCAGTCGACCCGGAATTCACTGCGGACGACTTGTGCGTACGAATGGACGCAAACCGCGTCGTGGTATTCGGTAAAGGCAAGGCTGTGGACAAAACTGGCAATTCGAGTAGCACCCTTATCAAAAAGTTTTCACGTTGATATGATGTGCCTCGAACGGTTGACACGTTCTTTGTCAATGCTCGACTGTAGGGAGGACAAAATCTTGGTTGAAGCATCCTTGTTGCGTCCTTCTACTTCACGATAAACACATTTAAGTTTACTCAGTTATCATGCATAAGACTTCATTCTTTTACAATACAAGTCATACGAAAATAATCTGCCTGCTGCAAGGGGTAGAGGATAGCCAGTTGCTCACCACCCTAGGAGCATGCTGCAGATTGAGGGAGGCGTTTGTGGCTAGAGCAATTGTACCATTCCCGTTGATCTCTTGCTTGCATGCGGTGGATTGAGCTGGTAGATTAGGAAAAGCCATGCTGGCTTTGGGGGGCGGGTGTTGATTCCTTTCTGCCACCTTTTATATTGTACAACGCGATTCCCCCTTTTTTGTTATTTTGGTCTGTGCCTATACCACCCTTGTTGTTTTTGACCTGAACATAAACCGTTCTTTGACCTTGTCATCGGACGTGTCGTTTAAGTTCACACGTGGTTTCGCTAGCTTGTAAACACGTGGCTTTGAGTCGGCGTGAACTTTGAGGCCCGTTAGGAATTAGAAGTTCCCAAACCGGTGTATGGAAGCAGGCATAATCCCACGATTTGAGGCTTGTAAAGCTTCATCATTTTATTATTGTACTTATAGTACCGCATTTGTAGATAAACCTCCATTTGAAAGAATTGGCTTTTGGAATTTTTGCGCGTGCCTCGACGTGGTTCAACAGATCGCTGGAATCAATCCATATTTGGAGACCCTCCAGCGTCCGTCTCATTATTTCGTCGATCACACAGTCAAAAAGGAATGGAGAGAGTGGGCATTCCTGACGGACACCGGAAGCTTTTAGAGAGCCCTCCGTACACTCGCATACGTCCGGATGTCTGAAAATACAAAAACGTATTATGTTTACAAACTTCCGGTGCATTTCCTGGTGGGCAAGCGTCTCAAGAAGAACAGAACGATCAACCAATTCGAAAACGCCTCGGAAATCCAGGAATATCAGAATAGTGAGTCGCTTATACGTATGGCGTTGCTCCAACACCTGGCGCAGTGTGAAGATTTGGTCAACACAACCTCTACCAGGCCGAAATCCCGCTTGCTGCGCTTGAGTCAGTGTCTCATGAGCCACCGAACGGCGACGAAGCACAACTGACGCGAACAATCTCATTACAATCGGGGTCAAGCTGATCCCCTGTGGTTACCACACTCACTACGCGCCCCTTTTTTTGAAAACGAGCACTACCACCTGGTTCTCCCAAATTGTCTGGGACAGACTCCTTTTTCCAAATGCAAGCAAACAGATCGGACAAGCGCTGACTGAGGAGTTCACCGCCGTGTTTGAACAGTGCGTATGGAAGGTCCTGCGGACCGGGAGCTCGGTGGCGCTTGGGAGAACATATGCAATCGTAAACCTCCGAGGCCGTAGGTGGTTCCACGTTCGCCGTCCAGGGTTCTACTTCACCTATGGGCTCTAGATGAGTGCCGGCTGATGGCTATGACAGTTGTTTTTCGAAGTATTCAGCCCACCGATCAAGGCGTTCTTCCTTATTCCAGATGGTTGTTCCATTTTGATGCTTGATGGTTTCGCTCACAGGTGGTTTCCGGGGACCGGTCGCACGGATCAACTGAAATAATCTTCGGGTATTACCGGCTTTCTGGGCCTCTTCCATTTCCTCGACTTTCTGTGTCCACCATACTTCATGGTCGTATCGCGAGCTCATTTTCACTTGCCGTCTGATAGCTCTTCGCACCGGGTTCTGTTCGGGACCGGCTGGGATATTTCTTTGAGATTTAAGTAGTGCTACCGTTCGATATGATATCCAGTGCTTGGGTGCACCTGGTTGGATCGTGCCACAGGCAAAATTCCTAGCACTATGCAAAGAGGTGGCAATCTCGTCCCAGTATGAGTTCACATCCGATGGTGGGGCACTTGGAAGGGACTCTACAAGACTATTCTTATAAGTTCGTCTGACATCCGGATCTGCTAGTCTTTCAGTTGCCATGCAATTCTTCTGCACCTTACGCGACCCCGGGAAACGTAGGTTGAAGCGACTCCGGACGAGCGCGTGGTCAGATTCCACATATGTGTACCAAAACGACCGGCAGATCATTGGGGAATGGTGCGAGCTTTCAGTTCGTTATTTTCTGTACATGGCTTTAGTTGGACTGGTTCCACCCATATTCTTGAGTTTCAAACGGCCAAAGGAATGATTTTCTTTCAATTAGTACTTATGGGGTTTGTCAACCCTTAGTGGTGTCATTGAGGTGGAATGACTTTTTTGAAAACTCAATTTTTATTCTAAAAAATGACCTTAGGAGGGCATTTATTGCTTGCTCAAATTAGAAATGTCCGCACTCAATAACAAACCGTGGTATTCGCCTTTTTTGATTACACCAAAAATCTACAGCATACTCAGCTTGAGTTTATACTTCAAAATCGCAGAAGATCAAAACACGTTAATCAAAACTACATGGCCAAACCCTGGTGCAAACGCTGAGGAATAACTCATTCCCCTCATTCAGCCAAACACGTTTCGACAGCAAGCGTACTAGCGTGAACACACACTGGCTTGCGTAGATTTGTTGATCATCTATTACGTTGTTTCATCGGTGAGACCTATGTGCAAATCGTGCCTTCCATAGCAGGTTTCGTGGTTTATTCTGGAAGTCCTCTGAAGCTACAAATTGCGTTTCCGCAAAACATGAGATACAAGACGGTTTACTACAAAATTTCACTTGATTAATTAGTGAGAGCATTTTTTATTGGCAAGTGTCAAATAACTGACTGATTGCGCGATCACTGAATTAGTGATCCAAAATAATGGGTTTCCTTGAATCAATTGGCGTGCTCTAAGATCAAGCTTGTGCTATTTTACTCACCAATTATTTTCTAAAGTGCCTTCATGTTCTTTCTCAAAAAGGAAAGCGTTAAATCTCCCGAGACGCACCAGTATACGTGGCGATCCTCAAAATGTGAAAACTAATTTTTGCGCAAGGATTATACGCTGAATTCGGATAACTCAATGTGCAATAGGCGTCAATTAGAATTATGGGGTTTTGCTTCAGCAGGTGCAATTTCTGAGCCTCGAAAAATGTATGATAATCGTTCTACTGCAATTCAGTGCCTTCAAACACCGGAAATATGTTTTCATACTTTGTATGTTACGCAAATGCTCCGGGCGTGCTTTTATTCAAATAAGATGCCAGGCGCCGGTAGATGCCGCTGCAACTGGGCGAGAGATGTACCGGATTTCTGGTCTGAAAAGTTAGCAAACCCCGGATTCCAAACCGTTATTGGCACTTTCGAAGAAGCCACTCAAAAATTTGGTGGGATATTTAAGATTCAGAAAATAAAGTGATGATGCCGGATACCTGCACTTGAGCTAACGATATGCACCGTGGATTTGTCTTTCCAAAGGCAACGCGTGCAACAGGCATTTGACATCATCAGCCCAAATTGTACTAAACCCTCAAGAAACTTCGATATATGTTCTACTTCAGCAGACCTTGCCATGGTACACCCAAATAAGCAGGAGATCCGAAAATAAAAATCATCGGGAATTCGTTTATTTTTGATGCAAAAACAAAGGTTAAGTTGGATTTTGTGGAAAATTTAGCAATATTCACGGCGTGCACGACCAGGCGCCCGATAGATCATGTGACCCTGAATTTTGAATATCTGCAAGCCATTTTATAAGAATTAAGTTTTCTAAAAGTAGTCATTCATTTGGGCCTCATTGCTATTACCTAATAAAAGTACCGTTTTCTTTGATCTTCGAAATTAACAGGCTCAAAACAAGCTCAAAAGACTAAATGGCATTCAAATAGACTCTTACCCTGTGACGCATAGCTAATCTTCATAATATTATGGCATTTGCAGGAGTTAAGTCAAAAATATATGACCACCTAAGAAAAACACTAATATCCCTTCTCTTAGAGATTCCTTGGTTGATAACTACCGTCTAAAAATCAGATCGTCGTAACAGTACATTTGGTTGGTGGATCGGATAGAGGATTAACTGACGGTAAGCAAGATGGAGTACCCGACCCTCACGAAATAACTTGTAATGAGATGTAGGTAAATGTTTGGGCGCTCACCTGCTAGAGAAAAACGCACACGTCCTCAGGTCACGTTTGCACCACAGTGAGGATCTGATAACCACTTAAAAATCGAAAGGTGTTCTCAGACTGATTATGAGTTGGAGTTTTTACTTTGCACTACATTTTAAAATGCAGGTGCTTATTCTGGTAGCCAGATATCAGAGGTCTTTCATGTAATTTCTTTGTCGGTTTGTTTAAAGATTTAAAACACCAAAATTTCAGGTTTGGTACACCAGTCTCGTCACCGGAGGTTAAAATTGATCCCCCTCTTTGTAGGCTTCTAAACATCTAATGCATACGCACTGGACAAGAAAGATGCGGCGGAGTCGATTAGTTTCAATAACTTTTTGTTAATCCCAAAGCATACGGCAGCCAGTGCATAATCCGAGACGGTCTACACAAATGTATTGACCACTGCTGCACCCCATGGTGCGGGCTTCGTCCGTTGTGCAGCATACTATAGATTGGTTTCGATGATGAGATTAAGCCTCTAAATTCTCAACTACCAAGTATAGGCTGAACGGATTATATGGCTGTCCGTTGTCCGACTGAATGATGTTTTGGTACGCTAAAAAAATCGATTTGTTCTGCAAGAATATTTTCTCAACTGGTTGATTCAAGAAAGTCTGACTGTTTGATATAGGTTCCAGCGAGTACATGAAGCAGGTATTTAATCGTCAAGGAGTAAAATTTTAATAGTTAATGCTTGCGTTAATTTCAATGTATCTAGTGAATCGTCAATAGATTGAATACAAACAAGGACTTTGTGTTTCTAAATTGTAGGCGCGACTTAAATAAATTGGCGAACGACTAACCATAGCGCTTTGTGAATCAAAAAATCTTTTGGAGAATGGCGGGTTGACTTCGCACGACTCTCCCAAGTTAAGCGGAAACGTGCAGCTCTTAGGTTAGTCGAACCAATAAATAAGAAAACGGACGAACAAATACACATATGGTCCATAAGAGTTAGAAAAAAGACCCTGAAAAATATCGTAATGATGGCCACCCGGGAGAGAGGCAGCTAATAATCGATAAACATTTAGATTACCGTCTGACCCAAGTGAATAATTTCTTTGGTACTGTCAACGCTTGTGGGTCTTTAGCAACATTATCAATAATTACATTGTTACATTATTCATGGCCACCTCAGCGGTTGAAGCACGCAAGTGATTTGTTTATTATGCGCCATAAAATATATTCCCCGCTTTGGCTGGAAGAGCCTTGTGGTATCAAACAAATTTAATATATTCTATATATATATATTCTATATATATTCTATAAAAGGACGCAAACTAATAACACCAACCATCACAGTTACTTTGGTTTGAGCTGATTTATCAGGTTTATCTGCTGCGAATTCAGCCGAAGAAACCGCACGGTCAGCCTGATTACTCAACAGCAATGTGATTTTTAAAGAAGAGCAATGTTGTCCGGCAAAGTAGCATGTGAAATCCTTCTTTAAACCATTATAAAAATTCCATGTTTACACCCTTATGATAAGCTATTGAAACTGCACTAGGGAACACGCGAAGGAACTCACATTTTTCTTACAATCACCAGTGACTTTGATATTATAAGATAGCTTGTCCGTGAACCACGAATAAATAGAGTCCAATCTGTACTATTCCAAGCAGTCAATTGAATATATACTGTTATGTTGCGAGTTAGCACTTCTATGAATCCTTGTGGTAATAAATGGTTGTCTTTAGTTGCAAACTTTTCCGACATCGAGGTTAATAACGCTACTACTAAGGAGCACTTTAGGGCAAACCATTCAACTAAGCATACAAATAAACTTCTGCAAATTTTGTGGGTTTCTTAAGTATGAGCGATGTTCCATGAAAAAGATTCCCCACGAGCTCTACGTTCATTTGGTCCCAGGTCAAGTGTTTAGCAACGCAGTCAAAAATCTAAAGGACAACTTTGGAATCCCTCAGTAAACTGCGTATCGCTGAGAATTAGCACCTGACGAAAACCTTGTACCACTTGAAAACAAACGGAATAGGATAAGAAGAGTAATACCATATTGAACGCTAAAGCTATTTGACAGCATACGACATTCAGAACGGCCTTTGTGCATTGCCAACAAAACACTGTATAGTCTGCATCAGTACATTGAGAGCACAAACACATTTAATGTTTGAATAGACTAGGTTTTATTAATTCAGCCCGTGTCCAAAGTATTGACAACGCTTCTTGGTTATGTCATCTCATCAACAATTGCAGAATCAAGTAAGTGGCTACATTTCAATTAGTACACAGGACCCTGTTGGAAATTCCCTGTAACTACGCAAACCTCAGGTGGATAGATATTCTAACGATTTGTAAATATAACTACTGTGGGTTCAGTTGACATTTGTGATCCACCAAACGTGTACTGCAATTTTCAATCCACTGAGGAGTGGACTAACGTTGTCCTAGCGCTGACAAATTGTGGGAAACTCAGTCTCCGTTTATCCACTGCTTGTCTTAAAATCTAGGATTGGAAACATCATTAAAATTGATCAATCATCAAGTTATCCACTATCATGAATACGGAAAGCTTTAATGGCAAAACCGCACACAAACAGCTCAGCCTGGCCTGGACATATCCAACTGATGTCCGGCACCAGCTGACGGGATCATCAACACCAGTTGGAATACATCACAGCCCAGAATCATAGTGCATGTAAACATTAAAAAATCATGGTGAAACCCGTCTTTATATAAGCCTTACTATGATTTCCAACACAACAAACTAACAATTTCAGGCGAATTATTAATAGTTAAGGATAGTAAGCTAACAAAGCCATTTAAAGTGAACCGAACTTGAGGTGAGGAATTCGATATTCTGCAAAAAATGCCCTAACAGTACGCACTGCGAGGGCTGCAACTCTCATTGGCGAGCCTTCCATTTCACGCGTTTGTTCAAAGAGCCACTGCCAACCAAGCAGGCGAGCATGGGAATGGGCATGTGAATTAAGTTCAGTTGTCCCTGAAGTTCTATGAGAACTTCGTCTCATCTCAAGAA